AAGCCGACCTTTTAGACTCCCTTTTTGCGTCCAACTCGACTCTTGATGACGGGGGGAAAACACCGCCGACCATCCCGCGGTGTGAGTGCTCCATGCCGGATGTGCTGTTCTCACAGCGCTCGGTTCGCAAAGCACTGCTCTCACTGGACATCCAGAAGTCGAGTGGGCCTGACGGGATCCCCCCAATTGTGCTGAGGACGTGTGCTCCGGAGTTGGCACCGGTCCTAACGCGTCTTTTCCGGTACTCCTACTCCCAAGGCGTAGTCCCGAATTCATGGAAGACAGCTTTTGTCCACCCGATCCCTAAAAAAGGCGACCGCTCAGACCCATCCAACTATAGGCCTATCGCGATCACCTCCTTGTTCTCCAAAATAATGGAATCCATTATTAACTGCCAGCTCATCCGGTACCTTGAGGATCACCAGCTGATTAGTGACCGCCAATACGGTTTTCGTCGGGGTCGATCAGCTGGTGATCTTCTGGTCTACCTGACCCATAGATGGGCGGAGGCAGTAGAGTCCAAGGGGGAGGCGTTGGCCGTTAGTCTGGACATTGCGAAGGCCTTCGATCGGGTTTGGCACAAAGCGCTTCTTTCGAAGCTCCCTTCCTATGGGCTTCCCGAGAAATTGTGCAATTGGATCACCAGCTTCCTTGCAGATCGGAGCATCAAGGTCGTTGTAGACGGTGCATGCTCCGACTACAAGCCTATTAACGCTGGTGTTCCACAAGGCTGTGTGCTATCACCAACGCTGTTTATTCTGCATATCAATGATATGTTGCTAACTGGTAACATTCATTGCTATGCGGATGACAGCACTGGTGATGCTCTATACACCGGCCGTGCCAATATTTCTCGGGAAAACGTCGCTGAGTACCGGAACAAACTTGTGTCTGAAGTCGAGTCTTTGCTGAACAAAGTCTCGGATTGGGGGCGACTAAATCTAGTCCAATTTAATCCTCAGAAGACACAAGTTTGCGCGTTTACCGCTAAAAAGAACCCCTTTGTCGTATCTCCTCAGTTTCAAGGCACTCCCCTTCTTGCCTCAGCCAGTATCGGTATCCTCGGAGTCGACATATCGAGTGACGTGCAGTTTCGTGGTCACTTGGAAGGGAAGGCCAAATTGGCCTCTAAAAAGCTTGGCGTGCTCAGCAGAGCGGGACAGTATTTCATGCCGGCACACCGCCTGCTACTTTACAAGGCGCAAGTTCGGCCTCACATGGAATACTGTTCCCATCTCTGGGCAGGGGCTCCCCAGTGCCAGCTCCTTCCACTTGACCGCATCCAACGCAGAGCGGCTCGAATTGTCGACGACCGAGCCCTTTCCTATCGGCTCGATTCATTGGCACTGCGAAGAGATGTTGCATCCCTTTGCATTTTCTTTCGCATCTACCATGGGGAGTGCTCTGAGGAATTGTTCGGATTAATCCCAGCCGCCAAATTTCACGAACGCACATCGCGGCAGAACTCCCGATACCATCCACACCATCTGGATGATTGGCGGTCCACCACTGTGCGATTTAGAAGATGTTTTCTTCCTCGCACGACCTCCTTGTGGAATCGATTACCATCAGCGATTTTTCCGGACCGATACGACTTAGGGACCTTCAAGAAAAGAGCGTACTCCTTTTTAAAAGGCCGGCAACGCATCTGCGATTCCCCTGGTGTTGCAGTTGTTCATGGGCGGCGGTAGTCACTTACCATCAGGTGAGCCGCATGCTCGTTTGCCCCCTCTCCTATATAAAAAAAAAATCTGGATGTAAAGGAGGAGTGAGAGATGCGTCAGGATGGTGCCAAACGGAAGTCCGTAGTCTCTGCCTACTGCTCTGGCTGACAGGTGTGTGCTTTTATTTTTTTTATGTCTAATTAAACTTAAAATGAAAAATCGACCAAGTTCTAAGACTACAAAAAGTAGCAAATTCTTAATATGATAAAGTAATTTATTAATAATTATATGCTTCCTTTAAAAAAACTGAAGTGATTAACAAACTCACAGCTCACCTGATGGTAATGGCTACTGCAGTCCATGACCAACTGCAGCCAATTCCAAGCAAGAAAGGCTACAGATGAGTTGTCACTTCTGTGGACATGGAATGCCTCACACCCTGTAATCACACTAGCTCTCTTTATCCTTAAGACTGGAGCACAGTGCAAGCATGTTATTTGGCGACAGAAATAGGTAAGAGAGTGCTCCCTTTTTTAACATGGGGAAATGTCTACGCATATACGTTTCGATGAGGCAAGGACGGGTTATGTCGGACTCGCACCAACTAAAACCCCATGGTGTTCCACCTTCGTCGCATATTGACAGGGCTACGTGAACGCTTTCGCATACATCCGCGGCCCCACCAGTGCCAGCCACACCATGGCGGCCCTTCCTCGCGAGAGAACTACTCCTCTCCAAAGAGAGTGCTACCTACCAACATAGACTCTTAGACAGAATAGGAACTAATTAAACAGCTTAAAATACTTTTTTATTTCGAGATATAAATAGAGATATATGTCATATTTAGAACGAAATAAGACTACTCCATATACATAATTTTACTTCAATAATGCGCAATGTAATTCCAATGAGTAAAAACTTAAGTATGTTTACTAAGGCTGTCTGTCAACCGAGCATTTCCTTTAAGCTCATAAATGTTTGAAGCTAAGGTTATATTTACGGAAATCCACATTTTATACAGTGTACCAATAGCCTTTGCTATAGAAACTTAATATAGTGTATGACACAGGTGTACATACATAAAAGAAATATATGTTTTTCTAAATAAGTACAAAACGTCTAATATAGAAATGTACAATGTTCAATCACGAAGGTAATAGGTTACTACGTAGTAACCTATTACCTCAATGTGTACAATGTGTATTTATTAGCAACTGAATAAAACAAAAACGCAAAAGATAATAGAAGCGAAAAGGGTTGTGTATTATATTAAAGAATCATTTAATTCATTTAAAACAGATTGGTCGTGTATTCCTTTAGTACGCATATATACATAGTAAGCATATATATATATATATATATGCTTCCTACACGCACATATATATATATATATATATATATATATAGCATACATATTTTTGATTTTTACTAGTAATAAGGCATTCTATTTTAGTCCTCAGGACTGACAACGCATCCGTATTTTGTTTCTCAATCGAGAACAGATGTAGAAGGATATGGCCCCAGCTTCCAATTACAATCAGTGGGCTGAGTTCACTTGATAATCTGACTTGTGCAAAAAACACAAACAAACAAACAAACAAAAGCACTATCATTACAATCATAACATATACTGTATAATACGTATAATTTGTAATAACAATAGCTACACTTGCGCGCATTATTAATTTAAAAGAGAAGAATTATTTCGCATCTACGACCAAAATAATGAGGTGAAGTACGTAACAATAATGACAAAAAATGTGATTTCACCCTAAAGCTGGGGAGCGGTCAACGTCGTAAAATATTAAACAAAGAAGAATAGGCGGGACGTTTTGCGTCGGCGTAAACGTGTGACCGATATGGCGATCACGTTCGTGATCGCGACTGTAGGCTGATACGCAGTAAAACTTTGCACGAGAAAATACTTGCATTCTCTTGCAACAAATGACAACTGATTTTCAAGCTTATATTTATAATATCAAGTTTCCTATCTTACACAAATAACCTTATTACCATTGCAGCCTATCGCAAGAAATGTACTTGGTAGAGCCACGCTGCAGCAGGTAGAGTGGACGAATGAAACACTTTCTCAAAGAATACCGGCGTAATATAATGCTTCTGTAATTCGTAAGGTTAGTGTTAACAACTGGAAACCATTTTCACTGCTAACAAGGCAAGGTTCTATGTTAGTTGTCAGGGGTGACAACGCATCTAAATCTTATGTTTTCTTATATTTATGCGAACATTTCAATAAAACTTTTATCGCGTTTTATTTTTAATTCCTGACGTTTTGGATACTTTACAGCACCCATGGTCACAAGGAATCTGAGGTGATTGACATCCCGATATAAAAGTTAACTCGGAATACCTTCAGCTTTTAATTATCTGGAACCTGTATGTGGATTATCTGAATCTATCACGAATAAATATAATTATGTGCCAATGGCCTATAGAATCCATTTATCATCAGGTAGACTGTGATCGTTGTCGCCCTTGCTTCGTATACAGAACATGATTGAGCATAGCATAAAATAGACTCCTAGAAACCACCGGAAAGCATGGTCAAGCAATATTTGATAACAAATTGCTGTATTAAAATATTTCCTTATGACTTAAAAATCTTTATTACGAGATTATATCTTTATTACTATTATTACAAGATAATCTTCTTTTTATAGTTTCAATAGCAAAACTTATAATGCCATAGTGGTGATTAAGATTTAGTAATATATTGTTAAGAAAATAAACTATGTTATAGAGATTTTCATCTGCTATTAGAAAAAAATACAAAATCTTTTAAAACAGGTGTACTTCTACCCTAATTGTACTTGCCATTTTGCAGCATAACGAAAGATAATAAGAAATTCCAAACATTTTTTTCAGTCTTGAAATACACACATATACACATAGACAGGTATACTCTGTCCTTAATCCTTTAAATTAAAATATAGTCCTTAGATACTATTATATTTGTATAGTCATATTATATTACCGTGATGCGTGTGTGACAACCCAGGGTTAAGTATGTTATGTAAGGTTAAGTATAAATATATAAGTATTTGAATATGCACACAAATTATTAAAAAACATAATATATTTCTGATAATAATTGTCCTAATTTGCAAACTATAGTATGTGACATTATAAACAACGCCAGCACAAAAAAGTAAAAATTTTAACAGTGCCATCTAGTATTCCTTTACTTAACTTCTACTCCACGACAGATGACGCTACTTACGGCAAACTTATTAAGTTTTTATTGTTAGTCACTAGATGGCGTATGACTCATAAAATTAAAACGACTTTTTTATTAATTTATATTTTTTTATTGTACATTTATTTTATTTTAGCAGAAATTAATAGCTTTTTCTTATTAACAAATACAACAAGCATACCATTAATTAAATATGTTGAAACACATACGATACAAAAATCAAATAATACAAAAAGTAAAAGATAAGCCAAGTACACACTCGACGCTATTGCCGCTAAAGACAGAAGGAACTGTATCCGAACAATCACTGGATGTTCAAATGTAGCTGTAACAGAAAGAAAAAAAATTGACTAACTACTTGATGTATTAAAGAACGCAGAAATATAGTCAGATATATATTCGAAACCGTGCAATTGCGGTTTAAGAATTCGACTACCCCATATCATTTCATGAATATCGTAAGACGCGACAGATAAAACAAAACAGGAAATTGGCGGCAGCATCTTTCTGATAACAACACAAATTATAAAAAACTGCGGTTGCAAACCCGCCGGTCGTGTTTATGTCTAAATCCCCTTATGTTATGCAGAAATTTTTGGGGTAGAACTATTATCAGCAGTAGACTTTTTTCTGTCAATGTATAGATAAATGGAAACATTCTAAAAATAAACAATTTGTTTGGTCTGTGTATTAAAAGTTAATTGCTTTTCTCATATAAGAAATAATTACTATTAATTACAAAATTAAAATAAAAAAAGACTTAGTTTTAGTTTACCTACAATAATTAAAAATAATTGAAAATTGAAAATATTGAAACCAAATTTAAATTTTATATTAAGAAAAAAATTGCAAATAGCGATAAATGTTTCGACGTGCAAATCGTTTTTGAAATCTTTCTCACTTCCCACGGATGAAAAGTCGCGAATGAAGGAATTTTACGATTACAGTTATTCTCAACTCGTGAGCTACCAAATAAGCGCTGATTCTCGCTACATCTTCCGCGGGCTTAAGTCACGAAATTGAAATAAAACTTCGATTACGCAAAAATTTTATCAAAACGTATAAAAAACATTTTTTTACTATTTTAGTTAGGATAGTCTAGTTTATCACTGGCTGATCTCTGCAACTAAGTTTTTAGATTAGTGTTGTTTAGTGTAGTTGGGAATTACAGTTATTTATTTCACTTTATTTTTACTCCATTTTCTCAATTTTATTTAGCATTATACCACGACTCTAATGTGGAGACATTTTTTTAATTTTATTATTCGCATTTATATTTAGATTGCGAATTTTCATTTAGCATTTGGCAAATTTGAACATTCATTGCGTTGTTTTATACTTCGTACGATAGCGCGTCGCGGCAGCGATGACTATCATTAGAATTCACTGGATTGCTAAAATCTACTAAATAAATTTGTGAGAATTTGTTGATGATCCTCGGGCTACGAATTTTATTACGAGGAATAAATTTCACCTTGAGGAATAAATTTCACAGAAAAGAGTCTCCGAGAAACAATATACCTATTGACTTTTTGTAATTTTTAAGTATCCACAAGCTACAAAGACTACATCAGGCGGTCTATAAGTTATTTGTCAGTGTTTATTATCATCATCATTATAGCCCATCACGAATACACTGCTGAGCATAGGCCAACCCCAAGGAATGCCAAAAAGCACGGTGCTGTTAATATTACATGACTACGTGATGATTACATGATTATTCGATTGATTATTTGTCAATACTCAGTGAATGACAACAGAGCAGACGGTGTACGGGGTACGGGTGTATCGTAACAATGCGCCGCCAATTACTGTCATTGGTCACTTGAAGATAGTAATTGTGAGTAATCGAACCGCTCAAATTATCTTCAAGCTCGCATCAAAGAAATAGTTTGTTTCTTTAATACATTTCGCTACAGCGTGTTTATTAACGAATATGTAAAATGTTCTACAATAGTAGCATACAGCTGTAATCATGCTTTATACTATTTTATTCATGTAATAAATTCAAAATGAAATATTAAACAACTGTTTCAGTCAAATTATCGTTTTTACCGTTTACCCGCTTACTATATAGTATACGAATTAGATCCTTATAACAATAAAATACTTTGACTTTTGTGTTTAAATGCTGTTTAGAATTTGACCATATTAAGAAACTAACTTATATCTAGAAAACATATTAAGGAAACCTACATAGAAATATCATAATGCAGTAAAACAAGGTTCCATATACGCAGTTAGGAATTTCTAGCGATGAATCTTCCCAAGCAAATCCAAAACCCTTAGAAAACCTGAAATAAATAAAAATATTTTAGCGAGACAAGTTGCTTTCTCCAATTGTAAAAACATGTTTTTATTTGTTTAGAATGCTATAAATAGTTACGTGTTTTCCTTCAACAAATTTGTTCAAATGAGATGTTTTAAATACTGGCAACCAGACAGGTCGCCGATCAACGTAACAGAGACGAGACAGATCTACGAGACGTTTGGCATCTCGCCGCGCTCTAATTAAATATGTTAGTTATTATACAAAATGGGATAAGATGGTTATTCCGCTACCTAACAGACCACCACACGATTTATCTGATTTATCTCCTTACACCAAGTAACAACCTTTGATCCGTGGTAGAGCCACGCGGCAGCTTTTGCTGCCGCACGGATGGGCGGGCTCGAACCGGGGTGGTACCACGACCTCGTAGCAAACCAGCGTGAAGTAGAGGTTTACCTCTGCGTTTCGCTTAGTGAGTGCAGGTGGCCGGAGGCCCTTTTTACTGGAAATGAGGCATTCCATCTTAGTCCTCACGGGTGACAACGATTCTACATTTTGATTTGTAATAGAGGGTAGATGTAGATGTCTATGGGCCGCAGCAACCACTTACCATCAGGTGGACTGTGTGCTCGTTTGTCACCCTTATCCTATAAAAAAAAAGTAACCCTCCTTGGACCAAGATGGCTAATAGGTAATCTAAATATCAAACTTTTATTATACTTTACCTTGTTCCATCTATCCTTTATTTCATGTACTAGTTGAAAATAAGCATTTACTTATAAACACAGTACATAGTTTCTAAATCTGAGATGCTATTGTCCTCGTTTCTTTGACACTATATCCGAGCTGACCTCCGACTTATCATATAAACTAAAAAGGCGAGTGACGAAACTACAAAGGTGAGTGACGAAGGACGAGTGAGTTAAAGTTGTATTAAAGTTACAGCCTGTACATCACTGGTGGGAACAGGCCTCCATTTATTGAGATGTTTATGGAGTAACAGCCAAAAACGAGTCATCTAGTGGCGGTGTATGAATAACGACTACCCCATATTATACCTTGGGTCTTATAAGAGGCGATAGAGGGAAACAAATCAGGAGATGGTCAGCAGCGTCTTCCTAATAACGACTAAAAATAAAACTAAATCGGTTATAATCGGCCTACCCGCTTGCCAAGCGTGGCAACTATGGCAAATATCCCCCCTATGAGGCAATCTATGAGGGAAGCCTAAGTTTAGCAGTGGATTTTAATTGTAACGGTAACGGTATGGAGTAACTAGTCCGTCGCGCTGCTCCAGTGCGTGTTGAAGAACTCAGAAATATTTAATTCCTCGGACATACAGGTGTCCTCGAGATTTTTCCTTCACCTCCAAGCACGTATTAGATCAGCACTTAAAATTGAAATCAAAAATTTCATAATGATTTCGTATATTTACGCGAACACTACAAATTCAAGAAAATTACGGGATTGTATCGCGTTGAATTCTACTTATTTTTATTCCCGACGTTTCAGGTGCTTTACAGCATCCATGGTCACGGGGGGCCGAGGTGATTAACGTCCCAATGTCAGAGTTAAAAATAAGTAGAATTAAACGAGATACAATACGTTAAGTTGGTTTTATTCAATCAAAAATTTTATTGGTGCCGGAGGTGATTGAACACGAGAAGTTTAGGACGAGCGCTTGGCCCTTGAGCTCTTGAATGATTTTGTGACACTATAATATGACCAGCGTAGTTGATACGAATATACTTAGAATAATATATGAAAGTTTTGATCGTAATTGAAATCGGAATGAGAACATCGTCAGCATCCTCACTAACTGATCATGATGCAAAAATTTTTACGTGCAAAAACTTTTACGTGGTAGAATCACGCTGCAGCTATCTTATGGTTGTGGCACGAATGGGTCGGCTCGATCGGGGTAGGACAACGCTTTCACGGAATACCAGCGTAAAACAGGAGCTTGATGCTGCTGTGTTTCCTATGGTGAACGGAGACCTTTTTTACTAAATGCAAGGCATACTATCTTAGTCTTGAGGGGTGACAATGCATCTTCATTTCTGTTCATAATCGCGGATAAATGTACATAAATGTCCATAGGCCATAGCATCCACTTACCATCAGAGGGACAATGTCACCCTTAACTATAAAAAAAGCAGAAAATAATAATTACATTAGCACTTAGTAAACGTGTACCTAGTCCTAAATCAAAGTTTCACAAATTCATGAGTTAAATATCCAAACATTCGTATAATAGTTATTATTTCTGTGATATGACCTGTTGAGTTTATTTAGCGCATAGCTTGTTACGAGCCGGAACCGGTTAATTTTTAAAATAGCCTCAACCTTGTGTCTTTGTAACGTTACATAAAAAATTTCCTAATAGTATGTTAGACAACGAATATATTATATTATAATTAGACAAAGAATTATTTTATTGTATAAAATCTCTGAACCGTTTATTTTTTTTATTTTTTTTTTTTAAAAACGTTACCCCCACACTAGGATTTTCTCCTGTGTCGTGGGGGCAGTTTACAAACATAAATTGCACAAGGACAAACATCCAGACCCGGAACAATTATTTGTAGGCCATACAAATACTTGTTCCGTGCGGGATTCGAACCCGCGGCCCCCAGCGCAACAACTGATTGCTAAGCCACTGCGCCACAGAGCGGTGTGTTATTGGCGGTGTAAGATTATCCACTACACAATATCGTCGCGAGGGTGTCTTAAGAGGCGATAGAGGAGATTTTAGTACGTGGTAGAGCCATGCTGCAGCAATATTAGTAGTATAGTTGTAGCACGAATGGGTCGGCTCGACCGGGGAAGACCACGCTCTCACAGAATACCAGCGTAAAATAGCAGCTTAACGCTGCTGTGTTTCGTATGGTGAGTGTAGACAACCGGAGACCCGTTTTACTGGAAAAGAGGCATTCCATCTTAGCCCTCACGGGTGACAACGCATCTGCATTTTGATTCGCAAACGAGGATAAATGTAGATGTCTATGGGCCACAGCAACCACTTACCATCAGGTGGACTGTGTGCTCGTTTGTCATCCTATCCTATAAAAAAAAGGACAAATGAAGTAGGAGATGGGCAGCAACATCTTCCTGATAACTACTCAAAGTAATACAAAACTGCGCTTGATTCAAAATCTCCCCAAGAGGCAATCTATGAGGACGGCCGATATTCAGCAGTGGACTTTTATAGGCTGTAATGAATGGACAGATGGATAAAATCTTTAAAAAAGGTTATGGACTCGTTGTGATGTGATGTGACTAATGACAACGTTGTTTGCAAGTATCTATGGGCTGCAGTAGTCACTTTCCATCAGGTTTAATACGAAAAACAACAGATTATGTAACATTTCGACAGAAAGTAGAACCTACTCTGATGTAAGTACTCGCGTACAGCTTGCATGCTCCGAAAGGTCACACAACGCTTTATAGTCGGGCCGCGCTTCGGCTGCCATCTCAACGTATAAAGCATACGTGGAAACCAATATTCCTAATATTGAAGTAGCGACGATAGCGCGATCATAACCTTTAGTCTTCATCCTTTGAATTGGATTTTGCTGAAACATTGGAAAAAAAAAAGCTTTTAAATTATCCAAATATGACATACGTGGTAGAGCCATGCTGCAGCTATATTAATAGTATAGTTGTAGCGCGAATGGGTCGGCTCGACCGGGGAAGGACCATGCTCTCACAGAATACCAGCGTAAAATAGCAGCTTAATGCTGCTGTGTTTCGTATGGTGAGTGTAGAGAACCGGAGACCCTCTTTACTGGAAAAGAGGCATTCTATCTTATTCCTCACGGCTGACAACGCATCTGCATTTTAATTCGCAAACGAAGATAAATGTAGATGTATATGGGCCACAGCAACCACTTACCATCAGGTGGACTGTGTGCTCGTTTGTCACCCTTATATTATAAAAAAAAATTACAAAATGAAAAGCTGCAACCCGTGCATGCATCATCTTCATCTACTCTTATGACTATGGAGTATAAAAAAAATTTCTCAATCATTACAGCCTATCAAAGTAACTTAAAAAGTAGATAGATTGCTACATAAGGTGCCCATTTTCCATAGTTGCCAAGATTGGCAGTTGCGTTGGAACCGTAGTTTTTAATTTTCTTGATGATATTAGAAAGGCGCTGCTGCCCATCCTGTATGCGGTAGGTACTGCTACCACAACTATATTATTAGTAATAATAATATCGTTAGGCTACTGGGTGGTCCAGACCTTTTCTATTTTAGCGTCCATCTGGCTTGGTTTACACCCGAATATAAAAAAACAACAACCTAAGTTGCCGTTTCAAGGTTAAGAGAACCGTTACAATTTAAAATAAAAACGTATATAAATACCTACTTCTTTCATCATTACATCTATATCTAAATTATTATTATAACTTATTTTAAACCTTATTCCTTAAAACATTTAAATTAAAAGAAAATTAAGTAATGTAAGATAACACTGGGAATTTCCCCAGAATCGTGGAGGTGTTTTAAATACATAAATTGCAAATGATGTACAAACATCCAAGCGCGTAACAGTTATTTGTATGCCATATTTCGAACCAAACTTGCGGCCCTCAGTGCCGCTACCTAAAGGCGACTCACTTCCGGTAGTGAGGATACTCATCTATGACTTTCTTTGTTTGAAGTTCATAGACTCCGCCCTTTCAATTATAATGAGATCCGCCTGTCTTACGTCACGATCACTGATATCTGAAATGAAATTATTTTTCGCCACATTCGACGTCACAATATCATCCTGGCCATTATCTTGGTATACTTCTACAACCACAGTTTGAGATGAACTTTCATAACTTCTACTACGCCAACAATACACATCTAAAATCTATATCTAAAATAATAAATTTCTTTAAAAATAATTTTGCAATTAACATGTTGGCAAGAGAACTAAATTAATTTGGGTAGCAGTTATAATAATAGCAGTAAACAATATACTAAATTATAGTTTTGTTTTTAATTACTTAGAGGAACAAAAATAGACATGGATTTAATCAGCTACATTAGCATGATGACTGCATTAACCTCAAAATGTATTCAACTCAGTAACGATGTTCAAAAACGACGGGTAATTAAGTTTATAAAAGTGTATTCTACTTCGAGGATTTATAAGCAAACTGACTTATTTATACTGTGAGGTATTTTACATTTTATGACGTTGTTTCCTTAAATCAAAATCAATTCACCGGTAGTTATAAAATAGGGGACGCCGTACCTACAAGTCGACGACATGAAAAACAAACAATGGAACAATAAGGTTATACCAAAAAACGAACACCGTTTACAACCCCTTCGTGTTTTAAGGTCATTATAGTAGCAAAACATCAAATATAAACAGAATACAAATTAACTTATATTTTGCCTTCCCATTAGCACTTTAAGTTGTACAGAAATGATTATAAGATTATTTTATTAAACTATATTGTAGATTTATTACATAAATAACACATAAAGTAATAGTAGGTATATATAACGAGCTATTGGCGAGGACATTATTCTTGAGGAGATAAAAGAGGAACCCACTTTAGCGTATTGGTAGTTTGGTAGACATCGCATGACCAACATGAGAACATGTGTTCTCGAAATATTTGCATTTTTAAATTCTTAGATATGCAGATTTCCTTCAGATGTTGCCATTCGCCGCCGAACAAGAACTAAAACAGCACATATACATTTTCTCTATCACAACAATACAATCAACAATTTCATTAGTGCTAGCGGGGTTCGAACTTAGTTTGCTCTCGTTCCATGTTTAAGGCGAACGCTTCAAAAACATGAAAGAGTTCGCAATTGTGCTCTAGCTAGTACCTACTTCTTATTAGTTTGTGACTGCCGCTGTTTTAATCAGAGTTGTCAGACTGGACATATCCTCATGAAGTTCCTTTACCGCCTAACACATAATTTTCGCGAAATTAACTTTGAAATCAGCACTTAACTTTCCGTTAGCGCCCGTGAATTTCTTAATTGCACTGAAGAAAAAAACCCTCATCATAAGGAAAACTGTACTGTACCTGAAATATTAAAATGATTTAAGTTTTTGCACTAGTCCTGTCCACATCCTAGACCAGCGTCTTTATAATCAGGTACTCCTACCACTAATCCCCTAGTAACACGTACCTATTTGAAAAATATTTGAGATAATAACAGTCATTGCTAATTTAACCCTTAATTTGATTTCGTTAAGTATACTCAACACTCGAATCAAAAAAATATAGTACTATGTTTTTGTCGCGGTTTAATTTTTTTTTGTTTTTATATAATTTGTAATTTAGTATTTTTGGTAGAAAAAAATATTTGAACCAGGTAGCAACACTAAATTTGACAGTACCAAGCAAAAATGGCGACCAGGCGAAACACGCTGCGGACTGTGCAGGTAATTTTACATTTTTTTTGTGTTAAGTGTCTAAAAATAATAATTATGACAATTGTTTATATTTCTATAATATATATCTAATGTTTAATTATCATTTTCAATTCTATACGCTATGAGATATAAACACAATAGGTATGTAAACATGAATGTTGAGTATCATTAACAAAGTTCGGTGGTGTGTAATTGAGTGTGATAAACGTATGTTGAGTATACTCTACAAATTTGCATGGTGGGATATGTGATGGGAGTTTTGTTTGTTAAGGCTGCTTAACAATAATAAGGAATTTGGTGTTCTTATTTTATTTATAATATGCATAGCTTTTCTCTTTTTACGCAATACTTTAATTTCCACCATATAATATTCCTTTCCGAGCAATATTATCATGTATATTGTGTGCGATAAAATGCTTGCTTTGTTTTTTGCCTGCAAAATAAAATTCTTGTTTCAGAATTTGAGGTCAAAACGTATTTTGGCCCTTGTACCCCAAGAAAACGCTCAATCTGATATAAGTGGGACATCGAACTCTGAGAATGAGCTTGAAGACGAAGTGTACAACTTTCAAAGTCGAGCTTCTGAGTCATCTGAAGCACCATCAATTGACTCTGCTTTAGAACGGCTCGATATAGATTTTTCCGATGACAATTATCCGAATACGGCTCCGACTGATCACACAGGATATGATGAGACTGACAATTATGATGATGACCACCAAGCAAATAACTTTTCACTGACATCCATAAGTTCTTTACCAACACTTTCTCCAATGTCAAACATACCTTCTATGACGCCATCATTTATAATCAACCAAGTAAGTGACTCTCCCCAACAATCTCCATGTAATTCTACTTCAACACCTCTTCCAAATCGTTATACTCGAAAACGACGCCGTCAGCAAAACTCGGTCTCGAAAAGGCCTTGTATTGTTACTAAAAATAAGAAAGTCAACCTCAAATTTCAATGGTCAAGCGGACGTTTTCGATTTCGTGCCGAATTAGAACCCGATAAGTTTGAAAATCCTATACCTGATGGAAAAACAACATTAGATTATTTCAACGACTTTTTTTCAGAAGATATGTTCGACGAAATATGTCACTACACAAATATGTATTCCATTCAGAAAACAGGCCGATCAATAAATTTGTCAGGTGCCGAATTGCGCAAATTTATAGCAATTAAAGTCATTACGGGTATCGTGTCCATGCCTTCATATCTGGATTATTGGGCTACTGACACCCGTTTCCCACTGGTTGCGGATGTAATGCCTCTAAAGCGTTATCAAATTATACGGGGATACCTACATTTTGTAGATAATATAGATACTGACTCCGATCCATATTTTAAAATAAGACCAGTAGTGGAAAAAATCCGTGCAAACTGCCTGAAAGTAGAAGAAGAGACTAGATTCAGTATAGATGAAATGGTGATTCCATATAAAGGCACCAAAGCTGGGAAAAAAAGACAGTATAACCCGCGCAAGCCACGAAAATGGGGCTTTAAAAATTTGGTGCGAGCAGGTGCATCAGGGATTATTTACGATTTTTTTCTTTATACTGGTAACGATAATTTTGGGGATTGTAACTTTACAAAGGAAGAAGAAGGCTTAGGTTGGGGGGCCAAGGCTGTTTTGAGACTTTGTAAAAGCATAAAGAAAAAACCTTGTGTCGTCTACTTTGACAACTTTTTTTCTTCTTTGGATTTAATACACCATCTCAGGAATTTCTACGGAATATTTAGTCTTGGTACAATGCGTACAAATCGCTTGAGAGATGCCGGAAAATATCTGAAACCAGACAAGGTTCTCAAAACTCAGGGCAGAGGGGCTTTTAGTCAAACTGTTTGTAATAAAACCAAACTCTCTGTGGTCAAATGGAACGACAATAAATGTGTTGTACTGGCTTCAAGTTACGCAGACGCATATCCACTAACTAAGGTACGAAGATACTGCAAAATTAGGAAGCAGAGGATTGAGGTACAGTATCCTAATGTTGTTATGCATTATAACGCCCATATGGGCGGCGTCGACCTGTCAGATATGCTGATAGCTTTATATCGCACCGAAATGAAGACCAGGCGCTGGTATCTATCGATTTTTTCGCAATTACTTGATATATGTATTTATAATGCTTGGTTGACTTACCGAAGGG